GCTCCTTCCCTCTCTCTCGCCTCTTAAGGTGCGTCGTCGCCCTGTCTCCCGCTCACCACACACATGCTCCAAGTTTTTACGGACATGCACAGCGGCTTGGAGACGCGCTTACACACGCACACACCCATATACTCGGACAGACACACACATAGACACACAGAGGCACACACACACACACACACACACACACACACACACACACACACACACACACACACACACACACACACACACACACACACACACACACACACGCCTCAGGTACGCTTCAACAATACCATTTCTGCCTCGATAAACATCAAGAACTGTTTCCGTGGTGTAGTTGGCTATCACATCAGTCTCACACACTGAAGGTCTCCGGTTCGAGCCCGGACAGAAACACACCATTTTTTTTGGCCCTGCTTTGTGTTTTGCGAAGCAAACGCGTGCACCAGCAGCATCATCCATGTCGCGACAACAGCTCCACCTTCACCTGCTGACGCTGCTGACGGCCACGGTCGTTGCAGCAGCGGTGGTGCTTGTGGGATGGGGTGGCAGCGTGTGCAGTGCCAAGGCTGTGCTGGTGGAGGACGGCGCCACGGGTGCCCTGCACATCAACACAAGCGACCCGACTCAGAGCCCCGTGTTTGTGAATGGAATGGACGTGATGAAGCTGTACGAGCTGGTGCAACAGCAGCAGAGCATGATTGAGGCCGGGAACGAGGTGAACCAGGCGCAGCAGCAGACGCTCGCAGCCCTGCGTGCCCGCGTGTGCCATCCCCGCATGAACCTCACCGCCATCACAGGGGTGGGCACTGGCACGTACAAGTGGGTCGGAAGCGTGCTTGCTCCCAACGGGCTCATCTACGCCATCCCGCACGGCGCCACGGCCGTCCTCATCATCGACCCAGCGACAAACACAGCAGACACCACGACCATCACAGACCTCGGGCCCGGCTACAAGTGGGCGGGCGGCGTGCTGGCCGATAACGGGCGCATCTACGCCTTTCCCAACGACGCCACCTCCGTCCTCGTCATCGACCCGGCCACCAACGCCACCGACACCACGCTGGGATCCTTTTCGCCCGGCATGAGCCTGTGGAACAGCGGCGTGCTTGCGCCAAACGGACTCATCTACGGCATCCCCAGGCACAACGACTCTGCCCTCATCATCGATCCAGCCAACAACACAACCGACATCACCACCATCACGGGACTTGGCACTGAGAGCAACAAGTGGTTTGGCGGCGCGGTGGCCAGCAACGGGCGCATCTACGCCTGCCCCATGGCCGCAGACGCAGTGCTCATCATCGACCCGGCCACCAACACCGCCGACACAACCAGCATCACGGGGCTCGGCGACGGCCTCAAGTGGACCGGCACCGTGCTCGCGCCCAACGGCTACATCTACGGCATCCCGCGCGCCGCGTCATCCGTGCTCATCGTGGACCCCAGCAGCAACACGGCAGACACGACCACCATCAGCGGGCTGCCCAGCGGCGACCGCAAGTGGTTTGGCGGCGTCCTCGCGCCCAACGGTAACGTCGTGGGCATCCCAAACTACGCCACGTCCGTGCTGTTTGTGGATCCCACCACCGACACTGCAGACACCACGTCGCTGGGCGGGCTGCCAACAGGCGGCAACCTCTGGATTGGTGGCGCCGTGGCACCAAATGGACTCATCTACGCCACGCCCTACTTTGCAGACGCCGTCCTCATCATCGACTCAGACTGCTGATTGATGACGGCAGATTGCTGTTGGCTTGAGGGTGGGCAGGGGGCTGTGTTGGAAGATTGGGGGGGGGGGAAGAGAGTGTTGCGAGTGTGGTCGTGATTTGCTCTGGTTACTTTGAGGCTTGACACTCGCTTGCTTAGGTAGGTGTGTGTGTGTGTGTGTGTGTGTGTGTGTGTGTGTGTGTGTGTTGTAGCTGTACATTGCTGTTGCGTTGACGTTGTTTTTGTATCTGCTGTCAACGTTGAGGGACTAGGCAGAGACACAATACACACGACACGATCAATCAATGCAATCGAATGCAACCACGGAAGAAAAGAAAGTCTCGTCTCCAGGTTGATATCGTCCAGGGCCCGCGGTTGCCTGGGGGTGGTGGTGGGGGGGGGGGACATGGTGAGCCAGGTTGTGTGGTGAGGGAGGTTGGTGATTGGCGAGCCAAGGGTATGTTGTGAAGCCGTAGTGATGGTGATGAAGTATTCGAGAGACAAATGCACACGCTCTGGCATGCACGCACACATGCTTCCTCTCTCTCTCTCTCTCTCACCCGTAGCTGACGAAGATGTCGTAGTGGTCCTGCAGGCCGAGGACTGGCAGGAGAGGGCCACATTTGGCGACCAGGTCATCGGGCGACAGCAGGTGTTCGTCCACCCACAGCCGCGTCTTGTCGACACGGAGCACGCCGTTGTCACCTGCATGCGCGCGATCATGTGATGAACATGCGTTGTGAGTTGGAGGTGGGAGGGTCAACACGGCCGCTGGTGTAGGTTGTTGACGCATCACACAAGCACCCGCTCGCACATACAACGGCTGCAAGGATATACACGTGCGTGCCAAGAAAGACAGCGCATGGCAGCCGCCTCCAATGACAGCTGTGCCCACGCTCACTTGAGTTGCGTGACAGCCGTGTTGTGCGTCAGCGCGTCTGCCAACGCCACAGCACCGTCCAGTGCAAGCTGTCAACATGCAAAGCAGTGGTCACTGGTAACGACGGAAAAGAGGAGCAAGGGGAGGGATCGTGAGTGGCAAGCGAAGGGGTAGAAGGGGACACTGACACCACACACTGGCATCAGCCACTGGCTTCAGGTGTGCTGTGCCACAGCGTGGCATTGCGCTCAGCGGGCATGGGCTGTGCAATCACAACACACGCCAACGACGCTTCTCTCCCATGCATGGGGTGTGTCAAGACTCACTTGAGCCGCGCGATGGTCTTGTTGTGCTTCAGCCCTTGTGCCAACGCCGCAGCGCCCTTGGGGCTGATGTGGTTGCTGCTCAGGCTGTAGCCAACAACCAAAACCACGATGGTGGTAAGGGAAGGGGGAGGGGGAGGTAGGGGTGGTTGGTCATGAGACAAGGGCGAAGGCAGCACGAGGAACATGACATGGAATGATGGAAGCGGTGCGCGTGACGATAGCTGCTGCATCAGTGGCGCGTGTCGCATGCAATCCACGTGTGCACGCACGCACTTGAGTCTTGTGACGGTGGTGTTGTCCTTGACAGCCACTGCAAGTGCGCGCATTCCACCATCGCTGATCCGTTTGAACTGAAAGCTGTGTGTGTGTGTGTGTGTGTGTGTGTGTGTGTGTGTGTGTGTGTGTGTGTGTGTGTGTGTGTGTGTGTGTGTGTGTGTGTGTGTGTGTGGTTGGCACAGCACACAGGACGCGACGGCGTTCTGACGACGAGGCGAGGCAAGCACAGCAAGCACAGCAAGCCAAGCAGGACGCTCGCCTCGAACTGTTGCAGACAACACACACACACACACACACACACACACACACGCACTCACTCACTTTGCGCGTGGCTCAGACGTGTTGTTGGCGATGGCGCGAATCAGGTCCTTCACCTCCTCATCTTCGGTCTGCGTCTGCGCCAACAGGCCCTCCACCTCCTCGCTCACTGTCTTCTGTCCGCGGGACATGGCCGATGATGGAGGGGGCTGCTGTGCGTGGTGGGTGGTGGGTGGTGCTTGAAGGTCGTGTCGTCAACGGCGGTTTGGCCGAAATTCCAAACAGCCAACGGTTGACAAAACCAGACGAGACACTGGCTGCTGCACGAACAAGCAACAAGTCAACGAGTCAGAGGTGAGGGGGTGAGGTGCAGTGAGGGGAGGTGTCATTGGTTGTTGTGCGTGCCACGTTCCTTCCTTCCTTCCTTCCTTCCCTTCGTCGTCCTTCTCGCTGACGCATTCAAACACACGCACGCACACGCACACATGTGCAGGGAGGGTGTGCGCACCGTCTCTCTCCTCTTCTCCCCCCTTTCTCCCTTTCCATCCATCCATCCATCCTTCCATCGTTGTCCATTTCCTTCTCCTGTGATGCACCACGCACAACCAACCAACCAACCAACGACCACATACATGACCCATCCATCGACAGGTGAGGGTGAGATTGAGTGCTCTCTGCGCACAGCAACAACAACCACCACCATCAACAACAACAACAACAACAACACAGCGCACGCTGTCATGGTGCGCACACATATGTAGACCACCACGCATCCATCCATCCATGGGTGGTTGGATCACAACCAACACACCACTGCGTGTGGCACACACAAATGTACACACACACACACACACACATGCTCACCATTGCGTGGTGACAGAACAACTGCCATCAACCACCGTCATGCAGCGGCGACCCTGAGAATGGAGCATGCAACCTCTCAACCAGTGAGCAGCACACACATGAGAGAGAGAGGAGGAAAATGACATCAACCAACGTCACAGCCAATGTGTGTGTGTGTGTGCACGGGTTGTGTTTCTTCTCATCCTCCTCCTCCTGTCTTGCTTCTTTCTGTCTGTGACACGCCTGCTCACTGCTGCTGCTGTTGTTGCTTGCTTGTTTGTGGCGGTGCGTGCAGATGGATGGATTCCATCATCATCATCATCAGCAGCAGCAGCAGCAGGTGCTGGCTGGTGCGTGAGGCAGTTGGCGACCCTCCACCACCCAACCCACAAATGACTGCGTGCTGACGAATGAATGGGGATCGAATCACTGCACCACCCAGACAGGTGTGTGTGTGTGTGTGTGTGTGTTTGTTTGTGTGTGTGTGTGTGTGTGTGTGTGTGTGTGTGTGTGTGTGTGTGTCGACGTGCGTGTTCTCTTCTCCACCCACCCACACGCCATCATCACCTCCGCCTCATTTTCTTGTGTGTTTGCTCACCTCCTTCCCTCTCCCTCCTCACCACCAAGACCACCACCACCCTTCTCGTTTGTTTCTTTCTCCTTCCTTTCTGCTGTCGCCACACAGAGGGCCCTTGAGCCGGCAGCTGTCACCCCCTCCCCTCCACCAACCACCACTGCTCTGGTGGGATGAACAGACGGGCGCTGCCATGTGATGACCATCCAGCCACCCTTGTGCGGCTGTGGAAACAGCAACGCCAATACACACACCACAAACAAGCAAGCGAGCGATGAGCAACGTGAGTGCATCACTTTACATGTATGTGTGTGTATGCTGCGCACCGCACCAGTGTGCGTGTTTTGTGGTCGCTGTCTCTGTTGCTCCTGTCTCCCCCCTTGTTGTCCCACATCAATGTGCATGCATGTGTGTGGTGTGGCTGCCTGTTTTGCCTTGCTTGATGCGCTGTCTCATTCGTCGTTCTCACACACACGACTGCCTGCACACCTGCACATTCTCCACCTTGCAGCCGCTGCTTATATTCCCCTCTCTTTCTCGCCCTCCCTGGCAGCCATCACAACAACAACAGCAGCACCAGCCAACACACCCTCCACCGCCGATGCTGCAGAGATGTGCAGGAGGAGGTGGACGCGACCACCAGCATCACTTGCAGCTGAACACATTCCCCAACCAACCAACCCATCGCCCGCTGCTGCTGCTGGCGGGAGCTGGCTGCCTGCAGCTGGGAACAGGTGGCGACAGCACAAGTTGCAATTTCGGCAGCAGCAGAGGTGGGCGAGAAGAAGAGGGAAAACGGAGAAGATGTGTGTTGGCTGGATGGCTGGATGGATGGGATGAGGTGGGGTGGGGGATGCTGGGTGAGTGTGGTGTGGTGTGGTGTGGCTGGCTGGCTGATGGCAGGGGACGGTGGTGGTGTGAGGAAGAGGGATGAATGCATGGATGGGGTGCAGCATGTCTTGTTCCCTCCCTTCTGTTTTCTGTTTTCTCTCTCTTCCCTTTCTCCTTCACACACACATGCATGCACAACACCAGCAATGGCAGCAGCAGCAGTGTAGCTGCGCACATATCCATGCTCCCTCTTCCCTCCCACTCGCTCACCATGCTGGTGCTCGCACACAACCACTTACAGGTGATACACACGCACAAGCAGCAGGATGAGAGAAATGTCGAGGATACTTGCCACGCGTGCCAGGTGCACTCGCCTCACATATGGTATGTGGGTGGTGATGAGTGGTTGGTTGGTGGTGTGATGGGGCTGTGACGATGCGGTGCGGTGAAGTGAACAAGGGAAGAGGAGTTGATGGGGGGATGGTCACACACATTGACACACACACACGCACACACACACACACACACGTGGTGCGTGTGATGTCAATCACTCGTTCTGCTATGCTGACGTGATGGCTTGCTCTGTGCTTGTTGTGTTGTGTCCCCATCCACGTTCCCTGCAACCACACACATGCACATAAGCACAGGTGGTGAGGTACCAGCACACATCAGGATGGTAATGATGGAAGCGGGCTCGCATGCCGGCTGCTGCTGCTGCAACTTCCCCGATTTAGCTGCCGCCGCTGTGCTCATGCAGTGTTCCCATATGCGTGAGCAAGGTGAGCCCATCGTGGATGCTTTGGATGGCGCATGGGTTGGTGTTGCTGCTGCTGTGTGCGCGGTGTTGCTGCTGCTGCTGTGCCTCGTGCAGCAGTGCAGCTGCGCCGCTCACATGTCACACGTGCGTGTGTGTATGCTTGTGGCTGCAAGGGGGGCGACTGTGTGAGGATCGTTGGAGGATGATGGGCGGTGCACACATGATGGATTGGGAGCAGCAGCTGTGGACACACACGTCCATGGTCATGGTGGACACATCCAACCACAGCGACGCAATCATGTGCAGGTGTGTGTGTGTGTGTGTGTGTGTGTGTGCGTGTGTGTGTGTGTGTGTGTGTGTGTCATGCAGTGCGGAGGGGGGAAAGCAGAGGAGGGGGCAGGAAGGTGAACACGTCTGCTGTGCTCACATGCCATGCCTGTGTTTGTGCGTGATGATGTCGTTGTGTCTTGTCGTTGTGTGTTGGTTGCATGGGCACCAGGCCCACATCAGAGGAGGGGAAGGAAGCCGCCATGAACGACACATCATCATCATTACCCTCCCCATTTCCCTCTCCTTTCTTTCTCTTCCACCTCAGCTCGGCCGTCACCGTCATCGCCATCATCGCCATCGACTGCACAGCCGCCATCAACCGACCGACACCAGCCCCAATCTGGCGTGAGGCAGACATTGCACATGTCACTCGCTCTGATGAAGAGGTGAGCATGTGTGTGTGTGTGTGTGTGTGTGTGTGTGCGTGCATGGTGGTGGTGAGTGGGGACAACATGTGTGCGTGTGGTTGTGTGTCAGTGTGGATGGTTGAAATGGGGCTGGCGTGTGGTTGATGATGCGTCGCTGTCAACCTCATTACCTGCATTCTTCCCATCTTGTGTCTGTGCACAAACATTTCACAGCGTTGAGGAGGCGCATGAAGCGGTGGAACCAATGATGATGGCGATGACGAGTGATGAAGGTGAGAGGGGCGACTGAGATGTGTGTGTGTGTGTGTGTTGGTTGACACGTTGTGTTTCCTGCTTCGCCTCCCTCTTTCCTTGTCTGTTCTGTCCACTCATGTGTCTCTTCTTCTTCTCTCCCTTTTTTCGATTGATTTGGACACAGGGCCATGCATCCGTCTGCATCCAACCGACCAACCAAGCAGCTGAGCGAGCAAGCAAAGGACACGGCGTGGCAAGGGGTCGTTTGTTTTCACCGTTTCCACCATCACCAGAAACAGCTGATATATTGCTGTATTTGGATGAACTGGCCTTCCGTCTCTCGTCCATCCCCTCCTCGTCCTCGTCCTCGTCGTCGTTGGTCACCAACAGCAGCGGCTGCGACTGTGGATGTGGAGGTGAGATGAATGGTGGTGGTGGTGGTGACGTGGGTGGTGTGTGATGTGTTGGGTGTGAACATCAGCATGTATGCGGGTGTGATTGTGCGGTGCTGGTTGGATGTCGTTGGGTTTGTTGGTGCTGGCAATGGATGTTGTTGTCGTTGATATCCTGATTCTGTGACAACTCACCTCTTTCTCCACACGCACACGTACATGGGGTGTAATGTACGTCGATGTGCCGTTGCCTCGCATGACGACGATGATGATGATGGTGGTGAGTGATTTGTGGTGGATGTACGTGGCGCACGCACACGCATGTGCAGATGTGCTGCTTGTGGTGGTGGTGTGATCGTGGTGTGTGTCTGTGGGGTGATGTGACATGTGCGTGCACAGGTGATGATGTGGTGATGTGAACGTGGCAAACGAGGTGGACGTGGTTTGTTTCTGCCATGCTGGCTCACTTCGTGGTGTGATTCTTGCTGATTTGGTTGTTTGTGCTTGCGCGTGTGTACATGTGTGTGATTTGCACAGGACAGTGGCCGATCTCTTCCCAAGCAGCTCTCACGACACGAGCAGGTTGATACACGCACACACAAATGTGCAAGAAAAGAAGACACGAGGTGAGACGTTGGGGCTGTGTGTTTGTGTGTATGTGATGGGGTGGTAGTACACATACGCACGCACGCATGCACGCGCATGTACACATGCATGCCAACACATCAGAGCAGTCATTGGCTGTGGGGTGGTTGCACTGACGTGTGTCTCACATGAATCAATCTCACAACTCAAATGTGTGTGTGTGTGTGCGTGGCTGCAGGCGGACGTTGTGCGGGGTTCCCCAACCGTATCCTCTTTCTTCTTTTCCCAACCAATCGCCTCTGCTCTGTGTCATTATCGTCATCAGCCTTCCCCCAATGCGATGTGCAGCTGTTGAGGCGTGATTGAGACAGCGTCCAACACAGGTATTGCAGCAGTGGTGGATGTGGTGCATGTGGTGATATTTTGTGCCTGCCTGCTGGCTCGCTTGGTTGCTTGCTTGTTGGGTGCTTGCTTCGTTGGTCTTGTGTGTAGGTGACGCACCCCGCCCACATCATGCTGCATATTCCCATGCGTGGTCCCTTGTGGCCCTCCTTTCCTGTCCTCACCATCACCGGTCATTGTTGTTCATCTCTGGTTGGTTTCTTCTTGCCTCACAGGCATTCACGCAGGCAGGCTGCTGCTGCTTGCTGGTGCTGCTGTGATGATGGCCGTGCGCGTGCATGTGCGCTGTGCACCGTGTTTGGGCTGCACCGATGAAGACAAGGAGGGACACGGCCCGTGCCCACCACTCTTCCTCCTTCATCTCCTCTTTCTGCTCCATCAGCGATGACGATGGTGGCCGTGGCATGTGATTGCGCTTCCCTTGTCTAACTTTCGCTGTGGCCCATCGGCTGGCTGGCTGCATCAAGCACAGGTGAGGATGATCGTTGGCGGTTGGGTTGGTGGCTGGGTTGAGTCGAGTGGGGCAAGCAGGGGGAGGAGGGAAATGGCACGGTGAGGGGAGTGGTGGTGGTGGTGCGACGTGGGAGTGCAGAGCGAAAGGAGGGAGAGGGAGACGGAAATGATTTGAGGGCGATGATGTTGGTTGGGGGATGAGGGGTGCGTGTACACATGCACGTGATGTCGCGTGGTGGTGGTAATATCACATGACAATGACACACATATCAGTGGCTCATTCATTTCGCTTGCACCTATGATTGTGATTTGTGTGATTGTGATGATGACTGCAGCAGGCAACACACGGCGGTGATGCTGGATTGGATTGGCTGGTGTTGACTGGCCATCGTGTCGTGTCACCCATTTTTCTCCCTCCCCTTGCTCATCTCAACCGGGGACACACACAGCGATGTGTGCGTGCGTGCGTGTGCATGTGTGTGCATCGCCATCAATCACGCCGACAGCGACACGATGCACGAGGTGAGGGCACGCAATGGTGTGTGTTTGGTGGAAGGGATTGAGGGGAAGTGGGAGGAAGGCGTTCACCATGGCCATCATCACCACCACGGCTGTGCACCTGGTCATGTGACCGTGCATTTTGGGGATGGAGATGAGGGGAGATATGTTGTCGTTGTAATGCTTGTGGTGGTTGTGTTTGCATTGCTGTGCATTGGTGTACCGTCTCACTCTACAATGCCATGTGTGACTGTGTGTGTGTGTGTGTGACTACAGATGTGCGTGCGCGTGTGCGCATATGCCAGGTAGATGCGTTGATCGACGACGAGGTGTATGTGTGTGACCTTTGTGTCCTTGTGCCATCACACACAACGCACAACACCAAGCACATCATCACCATTGCACGCCCATGTGTCGTTGTCGTCGACTCACGCATGACATGCTCACTTCCACCCCCCTCCCCTTGCTTCTTCTCCTCCTTCTTCCTCTCCTGCTGCTGCCACCCCTTCCACTGTTTCCCTCCACCCCCTTTGCACACACAGAGGATCCCATCCACATCCAAACCCACACCCACGCATCCAAGCATGCCACGCCATGGCGAGCTGTGCCACCTCAACCAACCCAACTCAACCCAGGCCAAGGAAGAGAAGGAGGAAGCAAGGACAGAAGACGTGGGGCTCCCAACAGATGTGTGTGCGTGTGCATGTTGATGGACTGTGTTCTCCTTTTTCCCCCTCCATCGCCTCGCCGCTTTCTTCCATGGCGATCTGGCTGGGTGGCTGTTGCCCCCTCCCCTTGTTTGTTTTCTCTTCCAGCCTTGTGTGGCTGTTGGTTGTCTGTTGTGACCGTGAGAAGGAGGAGGGAGGAGGGAGAAGAGAGAAGAGAGGGCGCATGCTGTCCACAGCTGTGTGTGTGTGTGTGCTGTTTCTTCTTCTTTTTCCATCCCCCTTTCTTGTCCTTCTTCTCCCTGCCCTCCTCAGCCTGCAAGGCCTGTGAGCCTGCGTTGCATTCACACACACAGTGCTGTTCCCCTTCCCCTTCTCCTTCTTCTCCTTCTTCTTGTCTCATTGAAACCAAGCAACCAACCAACCAACCAAAGCAAGCAAGCAAGTCCGCCCTTCAACAAGCAAACGCAGCAGTTGCCGCACAAACGCAGCAGTGGGCGATTATTTGTGGCATCTTCCACAAATCGTGCAAACACGAATCAACAAGACCAACAAACGCAACAAGCAAAAGCAGCAAGCGAAACGGGAATCAAGGTGCGTGTGTGTGTTGAGTGGGTGGGTGTGGCTTGCGTTGTTCGTGTGCGTGGCTGGCGCAGGGTTGGTGGAGAGGAGGGAGAGGGTGCGCGTTGTGACGGGCACTCACTGGCGGTCCTGTTGTGGGTGGTTTCGTTTGGTTCCATGGACTGTGTGGGGTGTGGTGGGTGATGGTGTGATGGTGCACAGGTGCAAACAGACAACACGCACAGCACCGCCCACACCATGGATGTGTGCAGGGCCAAAGGCATGCAAGGCGTTGCCCATGGTCGGTGAGGGTCACATATGTGCTGAACAGGCCCATGGCACGCTGGTACCGTGAGTTTGGGTGAGTTCTGTCGGTTGGTTTGACTGCTGTGCGGGTGCGCGTGTGTGTGTGTGTGTGTGTGTGAAGGAGGGAGAGGTGGACGTAGCTGTGGTGGGTGTTGTGATCTCACACGCACTCCTGCTGCTGTGGATGTATTTGACTCACGCACGCACAGAGAGGGATGATGCCCTACATCGACCCACACACATGTGTGTGAACACACACACGCACGCTGACAGGCAGTCTGATGCCACCTCACGGTGCGTTGCACTTGCATGCTTGCATGTGATTGTGACTGTGACTGTGACTGTGTGCATGTCGTTCATGCTGTGTCTGCTTGTGATTCACACTGTGTGTGTGTGTGTGTGTGTGGTGGCCGCTTGCTTCTCTCTGTCTCACACGCCTGTGTGTGTATAGATGGTGACATGCACACGCAGACACAGACAATGAGTGGGTGTGCAGACGCACATCCCCGCACAGACAAGACAGGCAAAGCAGGGCATGCTCTTCCTTCTCTCTCTCTCTACTGCTGCCACCACCACCGCTGCTGCATGGATGTACCAGTGGGTGCATGGCATGTTGGATGATGCTGACTGGCTGGCGTTCTTCCCTTGGTGTGTGTGTGTGTGTGTTGCACTGCTGCTGCTCTTGTTTCCCCTGTTTGTGTCTGTTGTGCGTTGCTGCTTCTTTGTGCTTGTGTGTGTGTTCACCACAACCACGTCGTGTGCGCCCATCACCATCGTCTGTGCTCACGCACCTCCCATCTCTCCCTTGCTTCTTCTTCTTCTGTTCCCCTCCCTCTTCCCTCTTTGTCATCCCCTCACACGCACATGCACACATGGACGCATGGACGCTTGTGCAGGGGAAGTGCAGGCTCTGTGTTGGAACCCATGGCAAGGCATGACACAACCAAGCAAGGACCACGAGCAAGCATGGACACAGGACAAGCAAGCAAGACGTGGGGCTGCCATGGACCACGCACCTCGCTGGAGAAGGAGGGGAGCGTGAGCGGGTTGTGTTGACTGTGTTGTGTTGTATTGTTGTGTCGTGTTGTTGTTGACAGCGTGCACGTCTCTCCCCTTGTGTCCTTCTGCCTTCCTCCCTCCTTTTCCTTTCCCTTTCTTTCTCTGTTCTCTCTTGCCACAACATGCACGCTGCTGCTGCTGCTGTTGTTGTTGTTGGCTGAAGTGGTGATGGCGGCTGATGGGGGAGCGAAGCGGTGTGGCGCAGCATGGAGCTGTCGCTTGTTGTGTGTTGTGTTTGTGTTGCTTGCAGCTGATATGGGGATGCTTTCTCGCTTGTTCTCGCCACGTGTGCGTGTGTGTGTTTGCTTGCTGTCGTGTTGCTGAAGAGTGAAGTGGAAATAAACAATGCAACACGCATGTGCAGCTGTGTGTATCGTGTGGATGGTTGTTGGTGGTTGCGATGGACTCAACATAGTGTGTGTGTGTGATGTGATTGGATTGGTGGTGAGCTGGGAGTGTGGCTGTGGAGTGGTGTGGTGTTGCATGCAGGTGAGGACAGCAGCAGCTGTGAACGTGGGAGTGGGGGCAAGGATGAAGCG